GTTCGGTACAACGGACAGGCAGGGACGGCCAATGCGTCATGAAACGACAGTAAACACTTGACAGTCTCATTATACATTGCGCGTCCCTGCCTGCCCGTTGTACCGAACTCGTAAGTTGCTACCTATTTTCAATTATAACTCGAAAATTAAGCTTTGGACAAAATTTTGTAAAAGGAAAAATCGTCTCAGAATTCGCTCAAGAATATGGCATTGCAAGGACATCAGGTTATTTTGAATCACTCTGTATATATATATATAAAATATCTTAACCTTATTTTAATTATTTACATTAGTGCAATCCGTTTTTATCTGTGCATTCGTTTTGAATTATAGCCACGAACAAGAGTGAACGTAAAAACTTTCAAAGTAGAGCAACGTACTGATTTATGTATTTTTAGCTATCATACAAACAATATTATACATATTTATTATTTAAAAATAGTCGAACTAATTGCTTATGTTCAGATTATTGACAATACACAAAGTCGTTCGTGATGATTTTATGCCAAACGAATTCACGAAACCGGAGACATTTATTCATATATAGTACTCATTTGCTGCAACAATGACATAACTCAAAATGCCATTCTTGAGTTATTGGTAGAAAAAATATTCCTGTTTACTGCTAGAACGACATTATAATACTTTTATCCGACTACAATATGTTATTATACCAATACGGTATTTCAAAATAATGTTCTTAGCAAAATTATAGCAATTTAAAACGTTAAAACTCGTTTTTGGAAAATCGTAATTTTTTTACTTATGTCACTGCTACAACAAATGAGCGATAGATACCCTATATTCCTTTATAATCTCTGTTTTAACTAGTTTTTTGCTTGCGAGGAACTCAAACACTATCTGCGGAATGCAGAAACGTTCACTACCTGTCGAAGGTGACGGCTGGATAAAACTACACAATCGGAGTAAACTACACGATCATATACGCGCGAAGCGCCTCTTCAATCTGCTCCTCTCTTTCGTGGTAATAACAAAAACGCGGGTTCCCAGAGGGAGCAAGTAGGGAAGGTGCGTAATCTACGACACGCGCTTGCAATGGACAGACGAGGTGTTACAAGAACGCAAGAGACAATATAAGGCCCCATGATCGCGGTGGCGACTTCAGTTTGTCGACAGCGCTCGCTCTTATTCGTTCTCACATTTTGATTTGTTTGTTTTATCGTGATAATCCCGCACTCGCAAGTCCTGCCCCGTGTGTCCATAGCAAGACTACTAGAAGTGCCTTTCGCATCGAGAAGACTTCATAAAGAACACAGAAGCACGCGACAAAAGTGACACAGTGAGTATTTAACATGATTTTACGAGCTGCCAACATGAAGCGTTATCATTATCGACACACCTCTATTGACGCATATTCGATTTGTGTGTTAAAAATACGTTCGCGCGTATAGATCGTACTTATTGTCATAAATATTTACATATTTATTCATTTACAAGTGTAGAAGTATTTGAGGTTTGCATTAATAAAATTATAAATATAATGTTAATAAAGTATTAATGTATGCAAATTGCGTTATGCGTGATTAATATCAAATTATTTCTGCTATTCGAGTGCACAAATAGACAATAAAGTTTTTTTGAATATGTCATTAATACATTGAATGTCACAAAATAGTCAACGAGAAAAATGACTGATTTCATGACATAATATATGTATAATATATACAAGATACACATGCGTGATAAAAATTAAATAAAATGTAATGAATACAATAAATTGTGTTAAATCAATGACGGATTTTCCAAAATTTATATTTTTGCAAAATTTTTTTATATCTTGTAAAACTACTGTCAGTAGCTAATTTCATTAGTCTACTAATAAATATACCATTGCTAAATATAGTGTAAACATATATACTTAAAAAACAATTGTATATAGATATACCAAATATTAAATTTTTAATCAGATTTATATATATATATATATATCAAATTCATAAAAAAAAATTACATATAATTTTGTAGACTATTTATAGACCAAGATATTGATTATTGTGTTATTGACACCACGTGTTCTATTTGATGCAAATTCTTTCCTGTATTTATTCATTCTAAAACCTATTTCCTCTGTAAAATCTATTTATTCATAACAACTACATAAATAAAAAATAACTGATTTATATATAATTTTATATAGAGAGAAAGAACAATATTATATTCTCTAAATTTTGGTGTAAACAAGCATGTCGCAGACATAAATATTAAAAACGCAATGCCTTTTTAAATACATCTTTTAAACATCAGATATTTCTCAATTAGATTAAAACAGAATTTCTATGCAATCTTAATTAAGCTTATAAAGTTATTTAGTAATTTTAATAATAAAATTTAAACAATTAATCAACTTTTTTTGTAAAAATATAAATTATTTACTTTTTCAAGCAATTAATTTTAATAATTATGTTTTAACAATTTATGTATAATAATTTATATATAATAATTGATGTATTACACAAAATAAATTCACCATCAATTTGCTGATTTCTTTATAGTTTTAATACAAATTAATAATTATGTAAATTAATTATATTGAATTATCATCAACATTATTCAACTGCTCAATTTATTTTGTACACATTTAAATCAATACTTCGTATTTAAACGAGTTACCTTGATAAATGTGAATGCACTTAATTAAGTGAAACCAAATGATTAATAAATCATTATTAATGTCATAGATATCCTGCAAAGTCATTGTTATCCCGCTTTCCTTCAATATGCATAGTTTGCACAATAATAAAATGGCAAACCTATGAGTAACTATGAAATGTGCTTCTATGTTTGAAATTTTATTACATGTTTCAATCTATGGTTTATATTAATTATTAAATCGTTAAGCATATCGATTAATATTAAATACGTCACAATAATGATCTTGGAAAGTTCCTACTTATTCACAAATCTTGAACACCAGCAATCTGTCCTTTATTGGTGACTGTTGTCCTTCTCGACGCCTTCCGCACTTAAGAAAATATATTTCCTAACTCTCTTTGTGGTCAAACAAATTCCTTTGGTCGTGCGCGCGAGAATAAAAACGGCACGTGCAACAAAAAGAGGGTTAACATAAGAGACGTGTCCACACAACACACGCAAGCACGCAACGCAACTTTATCGGGGGCGTATGCCTTAAACAGCGTCGCAGTTTACTTTCGTTGTAAGATAAACGCGGGAGGATACACCTGACTCACCAAGCAAGTGGCACTTAAAAGCGGCTACGAGTCGCGACGAGAGCGTGGCGATTCCAATTGCATCACGAGAAGCAAACGAGGAGTGTCACGCTTTACATGCAAATCCTAGTATTTTCCTATTTTTTCTTTTATACATTTGTCGATATTGTGATGAATAATCTTGTAATCATTATGTTCGGGAAAAAACACAATCATTTAAAGAAATGAGAAGAAAAATGAAAGACGCACATGTAAAAACGGATGACGACATTTTGTGGAAATTCCGCAATAATTATCATATTTTCGTCTTGATTCACGATTTTTCCGCGAAACTTGTTTGCGGATTTTACATCACGTGTTCCACCGATTCACAAAACAACAGAAATCACTCATACCGGCAGTCAATTTCGGAATAATTGCGTGGAAAGTTTGCTGCAGCGTCATTCATAAGAAATCGTTCAGTTGTCCGTTTTGCAAATCGAAGTTTTACGATAAGTAAGTTAACGAAAGCAACGTTTATAATAACTATTTCTTATACACGGTCTTATACACGGTCACTTATACAACGTAAGAGTAATCCATAATTAAGAAAATTTGTTAGTATTACATCGCGAAGGAAATGCGAGATTGCAAGGCGCAATAGTGCTACATCGCAAGATATGATTATACAAAGTATTAGGACATCTATAATTTTTTATACATATCCTTAATAATATACTTTTGCAGAATAAAAGAAGGGAGAAAAGTTATCTGTACTTGCGAGCGATTCTAACAAATATCATTTGAAAAAGAGTTATTTCTGTTTTCGATTAGAAATGAGACGCACTCGGTGCGCCAAACGCGCCTAACGCCCTGCGAGTGAAAATAAGGGTTTCTGTGGCCGTGACACGAATCGAATACCAACGGCTATGACTAGTCGCTGCGCTTCGTCGAAAACACGTTTGGCATCAATCACAGAACAACCCGCAGGTACAAAGTCGTCCGAGATGCAGCAAGACTCTACTACCGCGCACGCTGATGCAGCGAAGCGCGGAGGAGCAAACAGGATTACAAGACAAGTATCACATGACCACGATCGGACACGAGACCGCATTTTTCTGCAACAAGAACGAGTTTTTAACTGCACCACAGTCTTTGAAGAGACGGTTACTTTTCCTTTCCGTGGCAGGCGTGCGTTGCGAAATGCGCGCGCGTACAGGCAGCTCGCGGCGCCGCACCGTCGTTTTTCGCGATGTAGCTAACGAGTTTTGTTTTCGCGACAGTCGGATCGCGAAATCGCAAGCAAAAGCATTGTTCGCCCGTGTTCGCTAAATCCATCGAAAGTTCTTGTCGAGATCCCAATGCCAAAATGATTAAGAGAGAGTGGTAGATAATTTCACAAGACTGAATCAAATCAGCCCCGAGGAAACCAGACTGACCGGTTCCAAAATGACTTTATCGGCAAATATCTACCGCTCTGCATTAAACTGTTACGTAATCAAATAAACGGCTTCTAATTCATCGAATGCATCCACCGCTACGCTTTGACCATTTTTCCGAACTCGGTTCTTATCCGATTTCGCTACGATTAAGGAGTGATAACGTAAGTTATCTTTCTCAATACGCGCCAGATTTTTATCATTATAATCATAATTTACCGGTTGAAATTGTTTTGTCACGATACTTTTACAAGGAGCGAATGTCTTCTTAATTATAGATTTTTTTATTAATATAAAACCGGCCGCCTCTTGTTAGTAGAAATGTGCTCGATATTTATTGATATTTTCTAATTTTTAATGTGATATGTTTCATAATTAAATCATAATTAAATCGCAGATCAAATGTTATTCATTTGTTATAAATTTGTTATTCATTTGACTTAGAATTCTAAATATTTATTCGGGGAAAAAATGCATTCAGATGAATTTTCAAACTATCTTTGGATTGAATGCAACACAGTTTATTTAAAATTATAATAATTGAACAATATGATTATATTATTAAAAGACATTACTTTTTTGTTTCAAAAAGATAGCTTATAAAAAATCTTCTATTGCTCCATCGTTAATTATTATTTCATATCTATTATTTCATATCTATTAATATCTCAGCATTCTCGTCGAGAAAAAAAATAATTTTATCTTGTAGAAAGAATGTATAATCAATATGACATCCATTTAGCACGCTTTGTAAAAGAACATTAAATCGTAAGTAGCTATCAATGCTTGTCACAATGTTATACGCTACTGTAAGAGCACGTATTTAATGCTTTTATGTCATAGAGTGACGAAAGTCAAACATTGACATATTTAACGCGTCGAACATATTGCAATTTCCACGAAACATCGTACAATGTCGACGAGATGGAATCATTTATGATGATTACTTTGGAGTACTATGCTGTAATCATGACCGACGTTGATTATCGAAGCAGTAAAATGTGAGGTAATAAAGCAGTAAGAGAGAGTAACTTAACTTTATAACACATTCTTTTTCAATTGCACCGCGCTACGGCAATACTCGATAATTTTCCCATGAATCTGACTTTGCTTTTTATTCCTTGGTGCAATATTAGGCGCCTTGAAATTTCTACTACATATAAGTTATGAGAACGATTGTGGAAATAAAAGAGTCACGTTTCTTTCACATGTGAGTTATGGAAACTTTTTGATCGTGAGAATAAAAGAGTCACGTTTTACGCAGAATTTATCTTCGCGATTATCGGGATGAATTACAAAAGTCACGTAAAATACGGCACCGCCATTGGCATCAGCGTATCCTCAAGGTTGAAAAATAAATTTGTTATTGGCGACAATAATGATCTCGCGGAAACAACGTACAACGATAATATGTCGCAAAAGCGCTGTACCATGAAGAAAAATCAATCGAGATCAGTGAAAGGACAGACATATCGTTATTGAGGAAAACCGCAAGACATTTCTTAGATGCTCAAACCTACGTATCAACGCAGATCGCAATTAAGTCGTGCGTTGCACGGAAAACTCGATCGGCACACCTTGCAATCTGACGGTCAAAGTTTTATCGAGAAACAGCTCCGTTCGCTTCCTGTCGCTTATATTGCAATTCATTAAGCTAAAGAACTTCACTATCGCAATAAAAAAAGAGTCACAAAAACAACAACATGTGTTAACAAATTCTGAGCTCGCTAAATGTTTTGTATATCGACTTATGGCATAGATAAAAAAAAGAAAGAACTGAATTTATCAGGATCGTCATTGATCAACCGATCCTTAAGACTCTTTTAATTAACAATTCGAGATAGAATTCTGTCACTATATATATTTTATATATATATTTTTTAATGTTTATTTTTTAAATTATGGAATTAAAACAAAAATATAATTAATTGAAGCCGCACTTTGTAATTTAATTCAATGCAATAATCAATATAAAAATTTTTCGCAATTCAAAAAAAAATTAAATAAAATATATGTTATAAGAAAAATGTATATCTATTTACACATTAATTAACACTATTAAGATATAAATTTGTTTGAAATGCAAAATATTCCCAGGTACATGTTCGTTTCAGAAACGTTTCATAAATGTTTCGAAATGTTTTATAACAATTCTTAAAAACGTTTCTCGTTGATTAAAATGTCAATCCGAAAAACGTTAAGAGAAACGTTATTTTTTCTCACAGAATTAATAAAATAATACATTCATATATACATATATTTTTTCTCTTCATATATACATATATAAATGTATTATTGTGTGTGTGTGTGTGTGTGTGTATATATATATATATATATATATATATATATAAGGGTGTTCCATTTTTTAACTTAGACAACGTAATATCTCGAAAACAATGCAATGTTATACAAAAAAAAATGTTTCAAAAAATGTTTCCTGTTATTATTAGTGTAAAAATTAAAAATTTTTTAAAGACGTAGAAAAAAATGTTTTTTAAATTATGGTTTCAAATACGTTTTTATTGATACTTTACGGTTAAAAAACATTAGATACATATAGGAAACGTATATGAAACGAGCATGTGCTACCTGGGTTCTTATTTTAAATTATTGTTTAGATAAATAGAAAATTCTGTTTAGATAATTCTGTCCCTCAAACGTGTAATTTTGCAACATTATAAACAATTCAATATCTTCTGATAACTTTGTCCTCACTAATGATGATTAATTACATATATAACAAATTGTGATTCTATGACGAATTTCGTAGAACGTGATTCTCGCAATAATCGTTTTGTGATCGTGATTCTCGCAATAATCGTTTCACGCGATTCTTAACCGCACATTTAAATCACGTTGCTCAAGCAATAAATATAGTCTTTTACTGTTTTTTTACAACGTTCAACTGTATCGTTCTTATCCATTGAATAAGAATTATAATTGTCGGCAGCACAGGTTTTTACAATAATAATTTTGCAATAATGTCAATAGCATTGAACTATACTTTTTCTTCCGCTTTGATTAATTATAGAGCGAGATTATTTTTATAGCTAGAGAAAACACAACTGTTGCTCGAATCAAATACAATACATTTTTCAACTCAACAATTTCTTTTCAACATGTGAAAATAATACAGCAAGTAAAAAAACATTATTTGCTTTTAGATGGCGCAATTAGTGCAAACTATCTACGATGGTTATCGGGACCTGATGGACAACAAGAGCGATCCCAGAGTCAATAATTGGATGCTAATGAGTAGTCCGTTCCCCACGCTAACAATCTGCCTGTTCTACGCCTATTTCGTTAAAGTCTTAGGGCCCAAACTGATGGAAAATCGAAAACCGTTTGATCTCAGAAAAGTGATGATATGGTACAATTTGTTTCAAGTGATATTCTCCTCGTGGTTGTTCCATACAGTAAGTAAGACAAATGCTTCTCGTTTGCCACCATACATGATGAAAATCCGTCGAGATGTTTCTTTTTATCTCATTTTCCGTTTTCACAGAGTTTGGTTGCCGGCTGGGGAACACATTACTCCTTCAGGTGTCAGCCGGTCGATTATTCGGACAATCCATTAGCGATGCGCATGGTGCATGGTTCTTGGTGGTACTACTTTTCCAAGTTCATCGAACTCACGGATACGCTCTTCTTCGTGTTGAGAAAGAAGAACGATCATATTACCACTCTCCATGTTATCCATCACGGCATCATGCCCATGTCTGTGTGGTTCGGAGTTAAATTTACCCCCGGTAAGAATTGAATATTCTTTATTACTTCCAAAATTGCAAATAATTAAAAAAAATACCAAGCACTAAATTTTAAGTTAGGTTTGCTATTGTTGCTCATCGAGAAAATTATTTTAATTCAAGATTTAGAAAGAAAAACTTAAAATTTTTTATCGGAGCTCAAGAACTATTAACTATTATAAATCAATATAAAAAAACGTTACAGCCACAATTTCGAAACCCGCTGTTTGATAAGATAAATTATTTAGATTTTTAGATTTGAATATTTAGATTCTTTTGCAAAATAAATTTAAATTTAATTTAAGCAAATTAGTTCGACTTTTACAATTTTTCTAATACGGAAAGTTTTAAATTCTTTCATTCTTTACGTTTATTTATTCTTTCTCTCTCTCTCTCTCTCTTTTTTTGTTCCTTATTTTACTTCACATAAAAATTCACAATCAATTTTAAAAAGTTATTGTACATCCAGTTTCAGTGATAAAAAAGTAAAATGCAATTCTTGTAATCAATAATCTTCTCTTGCAGGCGGTCACAGCACTTTCTTCGGTTTTCTGAACACTTTCGTACATATCATAATGTACTCGTACTATTTCCTGGCAGCGCTCGGACCGCGCGTACAGCCGTATCTGTGGTGGAAGAAATATTTGACGACTTTGCAAATGGTGCAATTCATCTTAGTAATGATTCATGCGTTCCAGTTGCTTTTCGTCGAATGCAATTATCCGAAGGCTTTCGTCTGGTGGATCGGCATGCATGCCGTGATGTTCTATTTCCTCTTCCGTGACTTCTACAACGAAACGTACAAGAAGAAAAATCGAAAGAACGCATCGGGCAAGCAGAACCTCAATTGCAATGAACAACAAAAAGTACAGAACGCTCAAAATAGCGTTAACAAAAACGGTAACGAAAACAGTGTTATATACGCGAATCAATACAAAATGGCCACTGGTTACATTTCGGATAGCGGCCTCAGAAACCGTGTGTTTATCGATAACCGTGGCTTCGACTAATGACAACGACACGATGCTCAGAAAGACTTCAACCGCTTCGTTCATTCGTACTGTTCGAGCGGTCGTCGAGCGCTTCGTCATGTCGCAACACGGTCACTATCCTCGTGATATGATTGAATAGAAAAGTTGAAGTCTTACTAACTCCACAAAGGCTCCGGAATGTATCCAAAGAAATAAAGGAAAGAAGAACTTGCTGAATGTTTTTCTAGAATTTTTGAAAGTCTGAACCAAACGAACGTTCTATCTACAGATGGAATTCACGAATGCTTGAAAACGGAGCTCTCTAGGCGTAAAAAGAATTCTGTGCGCGTTTGCCGTACTGTATGTAAGCGCCCGTTTTGTATGTATGTATATATGTATGCACGTTGGTGTATTCAAAAACAGCATAAATCTTTGTAACAAGATCGCCGACATAACAAAATGTTGCTCATCTTAATTAGACGAGCCTAACGATCGATTTTATTATAGATTACCTTCTTCTATAAAGAGAAATTCCTGTCGATTATGCAATCATATTTATATACATATAATCGTTAATTAAGGAATTTTCACTGTGCAATCAGATCTGTGATAATTCTGCAATTTTGATAAAGAAAAAATAATTACAAATATAAGATATTAATAAGTTTTTACCTATTGTTTTACTATATAGTTTATTGTTAACTAATAAAAATCAAAATTTATTTTTGATAATACTATTTCTGTAAAGAATTGTAAAACGTATTTTATACATTTCGGGAAATAGAAATACACCAAATTTCTGAAAAAAAGTCAAAAAGGAAAGGGATTATTTTAATTAATTTAGAAATGAAGAAAATTCCTTTGCTTTTTGACTTATTCGCGTAGATTTAAATAAGATGAACATCTTACGGCACACGCGCTGCATGCTTTTCTAAATAATCACATAAAAGAGATAATGATTGAAGTAGTTTTTATGAAAATTTATTTTGTGAGATAAATAAACCGATACGAATCGGGATAAAATTTTAGTATGTATTGTTTTTAAGAGAGAGAAAACATGAATTTTAGTCCATAATCAATTTATTTATCTCATAAGATTATGTCAAAAAATCTTGCCGTTTTCACGTAAAAATGATAAAAAAGAAAAGATAATTTATTTTGTATATAAAAAAATATTTAATAAAATTATGATTGTGCTTCTTTGACAAAAAATGTTTCTAAAAAGTTTTTGAAAATTGTCAAAATGTTATCGCGAACAAGTAATAGTGATGTGACACAAAATTCTGATTTATTTATTAAAAAGTAAAATGCATACTGTTAAATGTTAAGGTACTGTCAATTATAAATAATTATTTACGTGTTTGTAATATATTTATAATAAATATATTTATTATTTTATGCTTATTAAATTATATGATTTGTAGTTAAAAATAATTTCATTATTTTTATCTGCAATCCTATTCTCAATATATATGTATATGTAATATATTATTTATTCATATATACATTATTTTCTAATTAAATTAATTGTAATTAAATACATTCACTAGAATATAATTAAATATATTAATTTTCTATGTCTATATATTTAATGTTATACTGATAATAATTATATAATTATTAATATAAATAATTCTCAATAATTTATTTTAAGATGTAGAATCATTTTTTATCACATTTTTCATCCATCTTGCAAAAGCACATCTTATTGCAAATTTATTTCAATACAATCATAATTTAAAGAAATGATCTGAAGTAGGTATATACGTCTCATACATTTAGCATAATAACCATCCAGCTAAAGAAAAGCTTGTTTTCGCGATTAACGATTGATAATAACAAGTATCGACGTGCTGCGTTTAGTGTTTATTTGTGGATTAAAACTGTCCTATATTACATAATTAAATTCCACAATTTGTTATTGCACAAACATACACCTAATAGCAGTAATTTACCGGCGCATATAAAAAAATGAATATGACTATGTAGTATCAAAACTAAAATGAATCGCGATACTGAACAGTAGTCGGTAAACAACCCACAAAAAAATTGAAGTAATTGTTTTTAATTCAATTAATATTTTACTATAAAAAGTTAAATGTTATTAGTATATGAATAAATTGATAATTTTCTCCAAATTTTTGTTTCAAACATATGTAGATTCAATTGACATGATCGATATTGTAGATTTCCGTCAAAATTTAAAAGAAATATTGTTGAAGATGATCCCGAAGTCGTTTATTTTACTGATTTCTTTTAAATAGACTATACTTTTTTTTGGCTGTGTAGAATAAAAAATCCTTTAAAATCGACCGTCCATTCTGTATTTGCATATGTACTTTAATTACAGAAAAGGATTTTTCATTCTACACAACCAAAAAAAAGTAGTCTATTTAAAAAAAATCGATAAAACAGACCACTTCGGGATCACCTTAAAATATAAGATATTAAATATCGAAATTAACGTATTGTTGATAATAAAAATAATTTTATATTTAAAATTTATATTTAAAAATTGATTGATCTAATATCCATTTTTTGCTAATTAATATTATTTTGATATAACATTTGTAATAACTGTCTTATTTTATAATATAAAATATATTTTATATAATTAAACATTAGTTTAAGTAGACATCATTTCTTTCTTACTGACTAAAATTTTTTATTTTTTCTACTTTTATCTACTGATAAAAGATAATACCAAAATATTAGATTGAAGTAAATTTAATATTTTATACATATTCTATTATATCATTTTTGCGTAAAACAGCAATTATTTTTCTAAAAAGAGGTATTAATATAATGATTAATACTGCTATATTTTTGCTACTATTTGTGTTGCCATCTCAATTAAAAAAAAAAACGCACAGGGTTTAATGAACTCTAAGTGAAATGCATAAAATGAATTATTAATAAAAAGTTAACTAATGAATTAAATATATAAACTTAATTGAGTAATAATCATAATTTTTAACGTAAAGAGAATCCTCAATAAAGAATTCATTAACAAATTAAACATGTAAACCCAATCGATAATTTTATTACTCGTGATAGATAAATTAATATAAATTATAATAATAATACAATAAAATATGATTATTATTGTTAATATTATAAGTGTAATATCAATTCAATTTATTAATAATCGAGCAAATAAATGGTATAATTCGGGAAAGAGTTTATGTGTAGTTGCAAATTCACAGAACTATAATGGACAAATATAACAATAAAAAATATCAAAATTTTAAAATAGAGATTTGATTGAGTGGAAAATCTGATTTTGCATCAACTGGTTTATGACAAGTTAAATTCTCGCTTCAAGATAAGGATGGTCTAATCGTGCGCGTCTCTCTTCAGAATGAACAAAACAGCTAGTACTAATTTTCAATGGTGAAAGTACATCAGCGGTGAAAGTTTCTCAAGACGCGACGCAAAACAACCACCGGCGTACTATACTTCTATATAACCCGTCATAATTCTCGTAAATAATTCACATACATCGGTATATGTAATGCATCATCCTTAAATTGAATTTTTATTGCGTTACGTTCCATTGTAACCGAATTGTAAAGTCACAAAAGTGTGCGAAATTTCATTATAAATTGTAATAAAAGTCTATTGTAAAACAATAAGACTGTGATTATGTAACGCTCTTTCGAAGCATCATTTTGTTTTAACATTGAAATGAATTAAGCCATAAGTTTACATTATAAACTTCTTCATATAATGACAAATTGTATTATAAATAATCTAGTTTATTTCTAGATATTTTAAAATAAAATTTACTTCAGAAAATACATCTTAATATCCCAGGTAGCACATGCTCGTATCATATACATTTCCTATATGTATGTATTCCTATATGTTTTTTAACCGTCAAGCATCAATAAGAAACGTTTTTGAAACCTAATTTAAAAAACGTTTTTTCCACGTTTTTAAAAAATTTTTAATTTTTACACTAATAATAACAGAAAACATTTTTTGAAAGATTTTTTTTTGTATAACATTGCATTGTTTTCGAGATATTACGTTGTCTAAGTTAAAATGGAACACCCTTATATATATATACACACAATAATACATTCATATATATATATATATATATATATGAATGTATTATTTTATTAATTCCGTAAAAAAAAATACATTTTTTTTGCGCGTGGATAAAAGAAGAAAAAACGTTTTTTTGATCGTTTCTTAAACGTTTTTTGGATTGACATTTTAACCAAATGAGAAATGTTTTTAAGAACCGTTAAACATTTCTCATTTGGTTAAAATGTCAATCCGAAAAACATTAAGAGAAACGTTATTTTTTTGATAAAAAACGTTTAAGAAATATATATATATATATATATATAGTATCAAAATCACGTGATAAATAATCAAACCTGATTTAAAAGTTAAATAGGGAGAGAAAAATTTTGATGCAAAACATTTTGCAACAAGAAGATTAAGGAGTAGACTCTTCTTGAATTAGTGAATTCTTATAAATATATCGAAACAGTAGAGAGTATGAAAAAGTTTAATTTGCAAGTTTTTGATATACTACTTAACATTCTATTAATTTGATATTTCAATCAAAAGATTACATTAAAAGAAATTATTAACAATGTAAACTGACAAAAGAAAAATAAGTGGTATCTTTAATATTAATTCATTTCTGGTTAATAAAAAAATGTTTCTACACCATTTTTAAAATAAGGCATACTTTGAAAAAAATAATCATTTAGTCGAAATATAATAGTATTCTGCAGCTTCTGTAATAATAGACTCACGTAACGACGAAAAAAACAACATTTATACCTAAGTAAATGCAAGTATACACATACTCGTTCGCACATACTCGTGAAAAACGTTTTGCATGTAAAAATGAACAATTAAACAGTATCCCATATATGTTTTGAAATCTGATATCTCTTTATATCTTTATATAGAAAAAATAGCGAGAAAAATGCAGAGTAAAAAATTATTTAATATCACTGTTTTCGGCATTGTGTAATATAATAAAATATCAAAATTAATTAAAAAACTTAATAAAGAAGCAGTTGTAGAATATACTAACTATTTTTTATAAAAATTTGACATATGTTAAATTGCATTTCAAAAATATTTTTTAATTATTTTTATTTACGCGAAAAGAAACAGTAAATATAATCAAATATAAAAATTCGTAATCTTTATTCTTATAGCTAAATATATGCAATCTTTCCAAACAAAATTTTTTTATTTCAATATTAATGTTTTCAACAAATTTTGTGTCAAACCGTCCAAATATCCAAATCTAGATAAATCCATAGCTATTTTAAAATGTAAATGTAAAATAAAAAACATCTTGTTATACTTATGATAGCCTCTAAAATATAAAAATTTAAAAAATTATAAATTAAAAATGTTTTTTATCACACTAACATTATTTACAAAGACAGTGATATACCTAAATGTTTTGATATGGGCAAATAATTTTCATAAAACTTTTAGTAAACATTTCAAATAATTCGTAAAAAATTGTTTGTACAAATAATATAAAACACAAACACAGATAGGTTTTAACAAATTTCGTCATATTCGTTCGAAGTAAAAGAAATATAAATAAATATGCCCTCAAAGTTTCTTGGAATCTGTGTGTGCGCATATTTTTCAAATGTTTGCTCAGTAAACGAGATTTGCAAGTGCTATGTTAACGTTAACAAAAGCATAAGTAGCTGCGCAAAACTACAACGCAACCTCATAAATAAGAAATATCTTTCATCTTGAGCACACTTTGAAAATAACTGTGCATAATAAGTCGTTTACACGTACTCTTTTAATTTAGTATGTTAATAAAATCTTAAACACCAAATATCAATAGCGTCTCTCATTTTAGTAGCAATAATTTATTTTATAAAAATTTTATATAAAAAACTTCAAACAGCCGAAATATTTTTATACATCTCACTTTTTTATAATAATTTTATTTATATATATTTTCATAAAGATTTAAACCGAGTTAAAATTTCAATGCAATAAAATATATAAAAATGATGTTTGCTTTTTTTTACGATTTTCTCGTATTTACAATACTAGAAATTAAACTCGCCAAAAGAATACACCAAATAACATTATATTTATTCCCTTTATTCATAAATTCAGGAGATATAAATTATTTTCATTGTACTGCAAATACGAAAATATTAACAATAAACCAACAGAAAAAAAAGAATCAAGCGCGGATGTCGGAATTAATTTTTAAAAATACTACAAATTGTGACCTGAAATTATTTTGTTTAGGCCTAATTTTAAATTCTCTTTAATTAGATAGAATATAACATCATGTGACAGTGTTGTAAATATTAATTTCTCAAAAATTAACTACGGATTTTAAAATCCTGCGACATCCGATTTGTCTATTTTGCATCTTTTCT